ACAGACAGTATATTTATATTTATATAGATAATATATTTATATTTGTCTATAATTATTATATTTGAAAAGAGATTAAAAATCTAAACATGTTACGAATAATTCTAAGGCTCAAGATTTTAAATTAACTATGTTGATTATATTAAGGTGCGTACAGACTTGCAACAGAACATCGTAACGTAACGCCGTTGCGTGACATCGACGCATGTATGGACAGTACCTCGCACCAAACATTTAAGCGTTACGGGGTATTGTCCATGCATTTCGTCGGTGTTACGCGACGGTGTTACGTTACGATGTTCTGTTGTAAGTCTGTACGCACCTTTAAGGTCATTATAATTCTGCAATAGATGGTGTCAATCTTCCCGCCGTCTAAATACGCGTGAAGCAAAGCACAATTGTCTAAGGCCGATATTACATTCATACTACAAAATGATGGTGGTCGGACGTAACGATTGAATATTAGATAGAAACTTTAGAAATTCTCTATTCGTTAACCAATTGCTACGTTCGACAAACTCGTCGTACGATATATGTAATATCATTATAATAGCGAAAGAAAAGGTAGCTTCGTCAGTTCCTTTCGTGACGAGCCGATTGATCGAGTTTTTCAGGATTGAGCAGTGATATATATACTAATTAAATAGCGGTCTATATATACATATAAACGCTTATGTCTTTATATATATGATTATAAATTATAGATATCCGATTTTTTAAAAATAAAAATTTGAAGATAAATATATGGAAATAAATATAAAACATTTTTGATATATAGAAACTTTAAAAAAATTGCTTAAGTATTATCCCTCTATTTAGAGAGATTAATATATAGTATTAATTAAATTTGATATAATCAATATATAAGCAAATTTAGCAAGAACAGAGCAAAGGTTTTAACAGTGCGGATTGTAATTAATAATAAAATAATGAGCTCATTAGGACTTTAATAGGCATTAATTAAATTTTATATAAATAAATAAATATAAAAATAATTAAAATTCTATATATTTTTTATTAATATTAATAATAATAATAAAAATATAAAGAAAATTTAATTATTTTTATCTATTTATATAAAATTAATATACTATTAATTAAAATCTTTTAATGAGCTCATTAATTCATTAAATTATTATATTAATTACAATCCGCACTGTTACGACAACCTTTGCTTTGTTCTTGCTATAATTTGCTATTAAAGTCATGCACAGCAAGGTTTGCTTTGTTATTTGCGTGAATTTGCGTCTCATTCTTGTGTCAGCCAAACTTTGCCCTGTTCTTGCCACAAATTGCTATCACATCGTGCACGGCAAGGTTTTGCTTTGTTATTTGCGTGAATTTTTTGCGTCTTATAGTGCCAGATCAAACCTTGCCTATTCTTGCCACAAATTTGCTATCATGACGCGCACGGCAAAGCTTGCTCTGTTATTTACGTGAATTTGCGTCACGCTTGTGACAAACCTTGCCAGCAAAAGCTCAGCTTAATGCGGACACACCTTGTTGCAATTTTGCTACAAAGGCCTGCTCGAGTTTGCCGCAATCTTTGTGCAAAGTTTTGTATCATTTTGCTAGCTGGGAAACATATATACAGAGTGAGTCTAATAGAAAATTCATTACGTTCTTCTCAAAAAAAAAGTTAAAGATAAAAGAAAGATTAAAGAATAATATATATTATCAAAATTATAGGTTTAAAAAATATTGATAGTGGAACTTACGTGACAAAAACGTTACTGTGGCAGACATATATCTTCCCCTTTTTGCTTCCACAATCGTGTACTTGAACGCATTGTGGAGGAGAGAAAGGGAAGGTCTGCGCATTTGCATTTTGCATCAGAACCAATAAAAAAAATAATTTTTTTTAAATTAGTTCTGATAAATAATAATTCATAATTATAACATTTTTACATATAATGAAGAGTTCCTGTGGGGAGGGAAAAGGAAGGCGCATGCACATTGCGTCAGGTATTATTATACATATATCGCAAAGCCGATATAAATTTATATAAGAGACTTCTGAACTGAATCGACAGTTAGACTGTGAGTTTTTGTCTTGACCTTGGCAACACCATTTAAAGTCAAGTGATAGATTTGTAAATAGATATTTTTATTATATACATAATATTTTTACTTTTTTACCTGATTTTGAAGATATATGGAAACACTTATTAACTTTCTCAGAGATCAATTCAGAAACAATCTTTATTTACAATATCAAAGATGATAGGTTGAAGGTCCGAAAGATTCACGAATGTTGACCTGTAATTAAGATAATTAAATTAATCTGTATGATTATAGAACATTACAATAAAGCTGATAATAAAATTTTTAATTTATTTATATTTTATAATATAAATAAATAATATTAATATGTATATAAATAAATTGTAATATATATATATACATATAAAAAATATATAAAATCAATATAATATATAATATATAATATAATATATAATATCTAATATATATAATCTATAATATAATTAAAAGTAAATAAGTTATAACTAAATTTTGGTTATGTCATTAATATAACCGAATTTAAATAGCGTTATATGATTATATATATATATATCTATATATTAATGTGTGAGTGTGTAACACATTTTTATATAAAAGTATTATTATACTTACCGCGTATCTTTCGAAGTTTGCACTCTTAAAATTCTTCTTCGTAATTATTTTCTCTTATTTTATTTTTGCATTGTACTGTCAATATAACCTTCGCGATGTCAAATGACAAATAGTACTTACATAACACGAAGCATGTAACACCGTAAAACCAATCAGAGCGACGGAAAAGAGGCAACAATACACTTCGAGATTTTCGAGAGGCTTTCGATACATTCGAGAATCGACTTAACATGCCTTTTTTAAAGAAAAAAAGGAAGAAAAGGATAAAAGAATAATATAAAAGAAACTAGATAATACAAGCGCGCGCTTTGCGCACGCCATTGATTTTATATGCTTTGATTTATATGCATTGATTTTATATGCTTTGATATTATAGTTTGTGGCGTCCTTTGAAGCGTTCAAATGTGTTTCGTTCGAAAAATTTTTTTTCCTTTGTATTTCATTCTGGTCCTAATATCTTTTCAAAATATAACCCGCTAATGGCCGAAAGTCGCACTTGCGACTAGGTCAAAAAGAATTAAGAAGAAGATTTAATATTATTTTGAACAACTGTCAAACTAGTAACCTTTGCGTTGACAGGCGTTCAATGCTACGAATATAACACACAACGCAAATCGAAACAACCAATCAGCAAAACAGAAAAGCGGCAACAATACATGCAAGAATCGACTTTACATGTCTTTTTTACAAAAAGGAAAAGGAAGGAATATAGCGGGGAGCACACTTTTGCATAGGCGCATAAGTGTAAGCATAAGAATTTTGATTGGTCTATAAATATCATAGAGATATTATATGTATATAGAGGACGCGAGTCGTGTGCTTGCCCGTAAGTGAATGCGATAGAGGAATAAAAAGAGAACGCTGCATATGGGCCCCTGCTGTCTTTGTCTAATCGCGCATGCGCATGACATGTGAGAAGAATAATCGACTGTGATTAGATCAATTTTCTACGATTTACGATTCTACGGACCAATGTAGACTATTTAAGAAATTCAACCAATCAAATTTCTTATGCATATGCTTATGCGCTAATGCGAAAATATGTGCTCCTCGCTTATGGCTTCGAAAATTTTTAGCATGTTTTCTCCCTCTGACGTCACAATTCCAACATGGTCGGCGAAAAGCCAGGAGCCGTAATTACCACTTATTTAAATATTTTGACAGTTTGTTGTAGAAGAGAAATCTTTAACAATCAAGATAATTTTAACAACAACCGAAACATCTTAAAAGGCTTTGATAATTCTAGAATTCCAGAATTTTTTGCTAATAAATAAACTTGTTTTTCATTGGCAAACATATATACAGTCGGACCTCTTATCCTACGACACTTTTATGCTACAAAACCTTTTAAGCGGGGAGCACACACTTTTGCATAGGCGCATAAGCGTAAGCATAAGAATCTTGATTGGTCTATAAACGTATGCATAAAAAAATCAATCAATCGAATTTCTTATGCATATGCTTATGCGATTATGCAAAAGTGTGTGCTCCCCGATTTATCCTGCGACAAAAAAGCCTCTCATGCTACGACCGCGGAAGGAGAACCGTATCCCCACTTTTCAAATTTACATGGTAGTGCCGGCTCATTGGATTTTCGAATCTTGAGCAGAATTCAGGACCTCATTCGCACGATTCGGAACTGTTCGAAACCCGAATCTTTCCAAATGGACTGCAGAGTAGGGATCCCTCTTTTTGTCGTAGGATTAGATTCTTCTTCTTATTTGACTGTTTGAGATTGTCGGGTCGAGTATGTTGAGGAGAATGGACGTGTTTTTTTTGACTGCCTTCTGATCTATCTTATTGCTTTACTGTCTGTTTACTCGGACCGAATCTTTCTATATTTATATTTGACGAAGTGCATGTTTGCTGAATTTTATTTCTTTTCTCGGTGCCACGTTTTTGCCACCATTTGCTCTTTCCTGTTTCCTTATGATTCAGTTCTATTTCTCCAAGCATGTCTATTCATGACCCAGGGGAATCGACTTCCCTTCATTTTGTTGCAACAAAGTTGACATAAATCCTGTCTCTGCTGTGACAAAGTCTCCTGAGAATACGCTTGATCTTATATCCTCTTCTTTTCCTGTTGTCTCTTCACCTTCGGTGCATGACAATGATTTTGAAATGGAATATCATTTTGATAATATTAATGTTGATAAATCTAATAATAATATTGTTAATGTTAATAATAATAATTTTGCCCAGCAGGCTGCTCCTTCTGTAGCTTCTTCATCAGTTGCAGAATCGGATCGGCGATCTCTTGAGATCAGATCCCGAAGATCTAAATCTAAATTTAAATCAAAAAAACGAAAAAGTGAAGAATCTGAAAAGTTAGATCTTTCTGCAAGTAAGCATATTAATTCATTCTGATGATGTCAGCGTCCTTGAGAGAGGTAAGAATTCTTCGTATGAAAACAACTATAACCTTTCTTTTGACTCTTTGAATCAAAATAAATATAATAATAAGGCTTGTAGATACCTTTTGATGTTTTCATTCAGTCTTCTCAAACACAGGTATCTATTGACCCTTTGGCGATTGGTCGTATTATTTCTCCGTTATACAGAAATGATATTATTGAGATCAAGAAATCTGGTTTTTCTAGAATTGTTATTCAATTCAAATCCAGAACTACTGCTAACAGTATACTTAGTAATTCTGTTTTGAAATCGAAGAATTATGTTTTTACTTCTTCTTCTAGAATATCGAGGAGAGGTATTATTCGTAATGTGCCTTTGGATATGTCAGATGAGGAAATCTTGCAGAGCATCGATTCTGCTATTCCGATTATCTCTGTGAAGCGTTTTAATAGGAGGCTGAGACGTCCTGAGCATTCATCTCCTGGGAAGACTTCTTCGCGGGGAACTGACAATGAGTCTTCTTTGATACCATCTAGGACGATTTCTTTGACCTTCAAGGGGCAAAAGTTGCCATTGTCTATATTTTTATATAGAATAAGATATGCTGTTAATCCTTTTGTTACTAAAACTGCTCTTTGTTTTTCTTGTTTCCGATTCGATCATTTGAAGTCTCAGTGTAAGGGACATCCTCGCTGTATTCTTTATAAAGGCGGAGTTCATGAGAGCGACTCCTCTTGTCCTAAAGAGAAGGACCCTCCTTCTTGTATTAATTGTAAGGGTGCGCATAGGGCCACTAGTTTGCAGTGTCCTACTTATGTCTCTCAAAAAAGAGTTAGCTACTTTAAAGAATATTTCTTTATCTGAAGTTAGAAGAATGACTCGTGGCGGCGTTGTTTCCTCGTCGAATGGTTCCAGTGTGTTTCCTCTTTTGGAATCTCCTTCGGCTCCACTCCCTCAGTGTTTTGACGCTCCTGTATCTTCGACTCCTTTTTCTTTTCATAAAACATTTGCCCAGTCGGTTGCTTCGTCCTTTCCTGTTGTTTCTCCATCCTCTTCTTCAGGGAGGGGGGATCTATTACGGAATAAAAAAGTCCGAGCGCCTAAGTCCTTTTCTCAGAATGATGCTCAGTCTTTATTGCTAGCACCAAATGGAAGATTGCCTTCTTTTCCTTCGGGTATCATTACAGCACAAAAATCTTTCTCTTTTTTCCTTTCCTCCCTCCTTTTTACCTGGTCCTGCTAATCCTTTGTCCTCCTCTCCTTCCTTTTCTGATCAGATCACAGTTATCTTTGACGCTTTAATGAATAAACTTTCACCTTTTTTGAAGCTCCTGGGGATTTATAAAGAGACCTTTCAGTTATTGAGTTTGTTTCCTCATTCTCTTAATTCTCAGGCTGTTCCTGTTGATTCCTTAAATTCCTCTCCTTTTTCCTCTCATGTTTAATATCTGCTTCATCTAATTTATCTCTTGCATGCAATTCCTTAAAGATTTTACAATGGAACTGTCATTCACTTTCTAATAAAATTGATTTAGTTAATTCTGTTTTTACTGATTATGATATTCTTGCGCTATCAGAGACTTGGCTCACTCCAGACTCTGTTGTTTCACTTCGTGATTTTAATATTTTTCGATCTGATACTTTAATATTAAATTCGGGTGGTTTGCTTCTTGCAGTTCGAAAAAATATTCCTTATACTTTTGTTCCATCCTTTTAATTTAAATAATAAAATAGAACTTATGTTTATAACTATTCATTGTGAGTCCTTTTGATTTGATTATTGTTTCTGTCTATCGTCATCCGCAGTGTTCTCTTTCTGATCAGGATTATGATTTCCTTTTTTCCTTTTGTGTCTTTTTCTCATTGTCTACTTGTTGGTGATTTTAATGTGCAACATTGCGAGTGGGGTTGTGATAGAACGGATGCTGGAGGAAGGAGCGTTTTGTCTTTTTCTTTGGGGCATTCTTTCTCCCTTCTCAATGATGGTTCTGCAACTTTTATGGTCCGTCCCTCTCAAGCATGATCGGCTTTGGATCTATCATTTATTTCTCCTTCTCTTATAGGAGTATGTAATTGGAATCTCTTTTCAGATAAATTATTTTAGTGATCATTATCCGATTGAAATCTACTTTAACCTCTCTTTAAAAAGAGTATCTTTCTTCTCTCATAGAATTAAACTCTCTTTGGGTGATAGAGATCTTTTTATTTTTAATCTTGTGGGCAGTATTGTTTGTCTCAGAGAATCTTTGTCTATCTGGGAGCATGTACGAAAATTTTGTTCAACATGTTAAATCTCATATTCCTTTTAAACGTTCCAAAAAAGTAGCGAATAATAGTTGCAATAATAATCATTTCTCTTCTTTTTCTTCTTCTTCTTCTCCTTCTAAATCATCAAAAAGATTAAGTTGTCCTGCGCCGTGGTGGAGTGAGATATGTCAGCGGGAGGTCGATCGGAGGCGCGTGTCTTTCTGCATATAAAAAAATCCGTCCTTTGATAATTTTCTAGCATTTAAAAAGTAGGAGGCAATGGCCCGACGTGTTCTTAAATCTGAAAAATGTAAAGGATAGAGAGAGTTTTGTGAAACTCTTTCCCCTAAAACTCCAATTTTCCGCATATGGAAGTTTATCAAGCAATTTAAGAACAAACGTCTGAGTATCTCTTTCTCTCCTCCTTCCTCGTCCCTATTCTTTTCAAATGAAATCCTTTCCACTATTAATTCTATATGTCCTGCTTCCTCTTTTCATAAAATATATTTTTGTATCAATGATTTTCCTTCTTCCTCTATTAAATGCAATTCCTTTTCTGATCCCTTTACTCTTAGAGAATTACTCTCGGTTATTTATAATTCGAGGATTCGTTCTTCTTCGGGACTTGATCAGCTTGATAATAATATTATTTCGTCCTTTCCTATTGAAATATCTTACTTTACTTCTGGATATTTATAATAAATTATTTTCTTCGGGTTTCTTTCCTTCCTCTTGGAATCACTCTTTGATATTTCTTATTCCTAAAAGCTCTCCGGGGAAATTTCGTCTTATTTCTTTAACTTCGTGCATGCTCAAGGTTATGGAAAGACTTATTTTGACTAGACTTGAGTGGTGGATCGAATCTTCTAAGATTCTTCCGACTTTTCAGTTTGGTTTTAGGAGGAGAAGGTCATGTCTTGATAATCTTGGATTGCTCGCTGCAGAGATTTTTGCGAAATATGCATCGTCTCAAGATGTTGCCTACTTATTTCTTGATATTGAGGGGGCCTTTGACAACATTATTCTTAACATTCTTTTGATGGACCTCATTGAAATGGGATTGTCTTCTCAGATTTGTTTCTTTATCTATAATTTGATTTCTATTAGACATGTCCAATTTGTAAATAATGGCATTTTTTCTGACTTTTTTATGTACAAGGGTGTCCCTTAGGGTTCTATTCTTAGTCCGCTTTTGTTCAACTTGTATGTTCGGGATTGTGCGCAGCATCTTCACGCTGATTGTCAGATTGTCCAGTTTGCAGATAATATTGCTATTTTTGTTCGTTCTTCTGATCTTAGGAATTCACTTGAGCTGTTGGAGGAGTGGAGGAGTCGGCTAATGGACTTTCTTATCTTTCCTCACGTGGGCTTCGTGTCTCTCCATCTAAGTCGGCCTTGATGATCTTTTCTCAAAAAAGAATTAAATTTTCCCAGTTTTCGATTAACTTGGGTGATTCTATTATTTATCCTTCTTCCTCATATAAATTTTCAGGAATTTATCTTGATCTTAAGATGGGGGCCAAAGGCATGTTCAATATTTAATTTGTAAATGTGGTAAACTGGCTAATGTTCTTAGATATCTATGTGGTATGTGGTGGGGAGCTGACCCGCGTATTCTCCTATCTATTTATAAAGCTCTAGTTCAAGGATCAATTGAATATAGTTCCTTTCTTTTTCCTTTGCATAAAAAAGTTCTTCTTGAAAAGCTCGATATAATTCAGCGTAGAGCTCTTCGTAATTGTGTGGGTGCTAGGTGTTCGACCCCTACAAATGTTATATTCTGAGGCTGGAATTAGTCCGATGAGACCGAGGATGATCTTTCTTGCCTCAAAATTTATTATTAAGACTTTAGCTCTTTCCTTTAATCCTTTGATTGATAAGCTTTTTGATCTCCAAAATATTATTTTCTTGAATAAAAATAGATATCATGTTTTTGATAAATTTTTACTTTATAGGGCCTTTCTTGTAGTCAAGAAGTATAAGTCTTCTTTGACATCTTTTTCCAACATTCCTCTGTTTCTATTTTCATATGAGACTTCTTCTTTTGTGCCTTGTATAAATTCGACTCCTTGTTTCAGGAGAGATGGATCTTACTCTGATCCTCTTGAGATTTGTGGGCGTTTTTCTTCGGGTCTTGATGATCGAGTGTTTTTCTTTACTGATGCATCTAAGAGAGATTCTTTGTCTAGTGTGGGGTTGCCTTTGCTTCTTTCTTTTTGGGAGTTGAGAGAATGTATAGGGCAAACTCTAGATTTTCAATTTTTCAGGGGAATGTATGGCTTTGATTTATGCTATTGATTATGTTCTTGAGCATATCCGTAAAACGGTTATTTTTTCTGACTCTAAGAGTGTTATAGATGTTCTGTCTTCGAGGAGACTGGATCGTGATTGCAATTATCTTATTCTAACTTTAAAAAATAAATCTGATCAATAGATCTGCCTCTCTCCAGGATGTTGATATTGTTTTGTCCTGGATTCCGGCTCATGTTGGAGTTCCGGGTAATAAGGCCGCTGATTCTCTGGCCAAAAGAGCTGTGAGGGAGGATGTCTCTTGTGACTTTTTTGTCCCTCATTCTGACTTTTACTCGGTTGTTCGGGATAATTATTTGTCGACTGTGCGTGGAAGCCTTTTACGTTAGTCTGATTTCAAGGGTTCGCAGTATTTTCGTTGCTATTCTGGTTTTTTGTCTAAGCCGTAGTTTGCTGAGATGGGGCTTGGTCGTCGGGCTATAGTGACTGCCGTTAGAATTCGTGCTAATCATTATAATTTGAATTCCAGCCTTTCTAGGTGCAACATTGTCCGGTCGCCGTTGTGTGATTATGGAGCTCCTGTCCAGGATATTGGTTATGTCCTTTGGTCCTGTCCTCTCTATGATGAGCATCATCCTTCATTGCTTCTGTCTATTGAGAATGAATTGAAGATTCCGCCTCCGTATGACATCATCGTGCTTCTCAGGGATCCTTCCAGAATTATCTATCCTATCTTGTCCTTTTTGAACAAGAGCAATTTATCTATTTGACTGGAGTGCGCTTTGTTTGAGCTATATTTCAATCAAATTTAAGAAGAGATCTCTGGCAGCATGGTCTAAAAACCAAGGCCAACAAATTTAAGAAGAAGAAGGCTGTTTGAGCTTTTATTAACTCATACACCATTTATTGCGTAGGATCAGAGATTTCTCAAATCGGAAATGTCGTAGGATTACAGGTCCGACTGTATATATATATACAAATCATAATCTATATATATATATATAATGATTTTTATTTCTATTAAAAAGTTTATTCTCAATTGAGATATATGTATTTGAAATTAATAAATATTAAAAACCGATATTATTTTCAGATCAACCTAATACTTACTTATTCTTTTAACAAGTAATAAAAAATAAATATAATTTGTTCATAATATTTTATAGCTATCACTGATTTATCACTGTTTAATATTCAAATTTTCAATTTTAAAGATTAATAAAATAATGTTAGATAAATACTATACTAAAGTGTACAAGAAATTTAATCTATGTTTTGCAAATCTTACTACTCAAATATCAACAAAATTAAATTTTTAAAAATCTGTTATTTTTCTAGTTTCTAATTGCTATTAATGTGCTTCTGGTGATTGAGATAAGAGTACTATCAAAACCCACAATTGGAGCAATCCCTGAAAAAAGTATATATATATATATATATATATATATATATATATATATATATATATATGCAAAACAAATTATAATTAATTTATATTATTAACGATAATTAATTTATATTATTAATTATCATTATAACTTATATTATTAATTATCATTAACTTATATTATTAATTATAATAAATAAATATACTTTACCATATAAATCAATACTAAAATTCGAGCTAGTGGATATCTTCTTAAAAAAACTCCTGTTCGAATGCTTATAGCATCCAATGAAGAATAAGCTCTCTTTACTCTTCTGGTAACGCTGGTATCAAATGGTGTTTCCATAAGAAATGTGGGAACTTGAGCTTTTGCATCATCCGTATCGTTCATATTATTGTATGATATATTTCTTCGTAAATTGCCTGCAGCATTTCTATATTCATGCTGTTACAAAAGTATATATACTATTAATATATGAGATATGTATTTTAAAAATAACTGAAAAAACTTTAGTAACATGCTTTACTTACCATCAGAATGAAAAAACGTAATATAAATCCAAAAACACTTTCTTTTCAAGTAATAAGTACTTTTAATAATAGAGTTTGGCAGATCATCATGCATAGTTGAGTAATTAAAATTCAAAAATTTATAGAATTTTGATACAACTTGACAATTTAATTAACTAAAGAGTATTTTCTAATAATAAAAACAGGAATAAACAAACAAAAATCTTGAAATGTTCCTATAAATAAAAATTCTGAAAATTTAATCTAAGAACAAGCTATACCAAATAATCCTAATCTGCCACTCTATTAATTGAATAAATTATTATTAGAAAATTTTTATAAATTAAGTCTTTTTAATTTGGAAAAAAATTCTGGGTTCATATGTATATATATGTATATATATACACACACACACGCTTACGCACACGCACGCACGCACGCACACACAACACACACACACACACACACACACACACACACACACACACACGCACACGCACACGCACACACACACACACACACACACACACACACACACACACGTTTTTTTCATTCTTATAGTAAATAAAATATGCATATGGTTAACAACATTATTCTAAATATTAGAACAATTTTAATTATATTTACTTCAATTTTTTCAAGTTGGAGACGTAATGCATTTCTTTCTGTAGTTAAGCATTCTAATGCTTGTTGCTTTATAACCAGAGTTTGTGTAAGAGATGTTATTCTCGAATCCATTTCATTATTTGGCATTGCTAATGTAGACAGTTGTAATTTAAGTTTAGAAATCTCTGAATTCTGTTTTTGTAATTGTAAACTGAATCCATTATTTTGATTAATTATTTCATCTTTTAAAGATCGTATTTCCTGAAACACCATAATTATATTTTAATACGTTTTAATTATTAAAGCAAAAAAACGGAGACATAACATACATTTGCAGAACTATTGTAAGTAAAATTATTTATATACTTCACAATGTTTTCTTGCATCTTCTTCTGCTTCTAATCTGCGATGTCTTTCACTAGTAAGAATTTCTTGATTTTTTAAGTTTGTTTCCATTGACTTTTGTTTTATTTTTTCTAAGTTTATATCTGCATTTCTCAATTCCTCGTGCAACGTTTTTATTTGTTGACTCAATTGTTGATTTTCTTCTCGAACACTTTCACATTCCTGCCTGTGATTAATATATTAGTGAATTATTATTATTCTATATTATAGAATATTTAGATGATAATAATAAACTTGAGAAATCTTAATGTAAATTACTTTAATTGATTTAATTCCATGATGGTGACTTCATCCATAGCTGTTGGTGTATTACTCTTTAATTCAGTTATCAGTTTTTCCTTTTCTTGTAAAGTTTTTAAAGCTCTAGCCTTATGCTGTTCCAGTTCAGATCTAACTAAATTTAATTCTTGTCTATTTCTGTCAATAACAAATTGCAAATCCATTATTTGCTTTGATTGCTGAACCTTTTCTATTTCCAAAGATTTTAACTTTTCATTTAAAATTATAATTTCTTTCTGATGATCCGTTTCTTGCTTGCCAAGTAGCTCGCTTTGTTTCTCCAAATTTCTTTCCATTTCCTTTATATATTTTTCCACAGATTTATTTTCTACTGGATCAGTGAAATTGTCTACTATATCTGCCTTTGAATTATTTGACTCTACTTTATTATTGAATTGGAGATAGGAAATATTGGAATGTTCTTCCATTTTATTGTGTTCTGTAATAAGTAAAAATATGTATAAACTTACATATACTACAAACTTATGCTAAATGTATACAAATAAAAACATACCACTTTGTATAGTATCTGATGTAGATTTACTTAAATATTCACAATTTAAGATCTGCGTTTTATCAGGTAGGTATAAAGTCCCATTTTCTGCATCTGTTTCAGCATTTTTATCGTTTAAAGCATTTGGAACCATCTCTAATGAAATATAAGTTGGAGGTGGACTAATTTGATCGCTATAAGTTGATACTTCTGAATCTGTATCGTTAGTAGAATGTTCTACTAATGATGATGCAGTTGATGGCAATTGAAAGGACGGTGCTATCCTCTTTGGACTTGGATCTGGAGTATTCAAATATGTAAATAGTGCATCCTCCTTAGATGCATTTAACAGATTCATTGATATTAACTTTGACGTAGGAGTAATATAAGGGATATAATTTGATGATTCCAATACGAGTCTTTTCGATGAATTTCCATTCTTTCTGAAATATATATTTATATTTTTATTTTTTTCAAATTTTCTTGCATCAACATCAATTATCAATGTGTAAAAAATATATCTTTAAAATTGTGTAACAACAGTTTCTAATTTATTTACATAATTTATATATACTTATATATTTTTTTAATTTATAAGTATATATTTATATTTTATATATATATATATATTTATATATATATATATTTATATATTTATTTATTTATATAAATTTATAATTTAGATTAAATTTATATTCTGTCACATAAAAAATAAAATATAACATTTTGAGAAATCGTGCGAAGTGTGATCACTAATCCAAAATATTTACCAGAAATAATCTGAAATTGATATGAACACTATTACCCAAGTTCTGGAGAAAGCCATGCAACATCTGTTAAGTTATTATGTGGCATCTCATATTTATCTTTATTTAAGACAGCCGCGGTGTTCTTGTCGATTTTATTTAATAAATTCTCTGCCTTATCTGCAAGACCGGACAACCAAGCCATATCTCGAAAAAGACCGATCGAAAAATATTACTTGAAAAAGGAGAATAAAATTATATTACACGTAAAATGCTTGTTTATTCATCATACTAAAGGTGCCTTTTCACGAGCCGTTGAAATCGGTTTTTAGCCATAGACATATAGCATGGGTCGCGCGATCCGTGGAAAAAGAGCATGTGGTCGTTAAAAATGAGAGAGATAGAGAGTGAAGACGGCCAACTCCATCTCTTTCTAGTGTTATGATTGGTACTGAATAGAAAAGGATAGAGATGGCCGTCTTCGCGTTCTATCTCTCTCAATGACTAAAGCGAGGAGCACACACTCTTGCGCATAAGTGTAAATATGAGAATCTTGATTGGTCTACAAACGTATGCATAAGAATTCAACCAATCGAATTTCTTATGCATATGCTTATGCGCTTATGCTTATGCAAGAATATGTGCTCCCCCCTTTAGTTTACACGGTACCCTTAGGCCGACGTCCCATTAAGCGGAAATTCATAACGGAACGGAACGCGCGGAACCAGCGCGACCAATCACAGCCATTCCGCTCTTTTCATGTCGTTCCGCTATAATTTTACCGCTAATTCGCGGAATAAAGAAATATTCACAAATAACTTCAATTTTAGTTATAATTATGAATAAAAAATCTATAAGTATATAATAAAATAAAAGGTTAATAATTGGGTATTTATAATAGGATATTAATGAAAGTAATATTAATCTAGAATGTATATAAATGTTGTAGAGAGGGTTTTGCCATTTATATTTTGGAGTTAATTTTGTATTGACACCCGATTTATTTTGTGTTACCCTCACTTGGACTAAGTCTCCCACTTTATACCTTTTGTTTTTCTTGTGTCTCTTATCGTAATAAGTTTTATTATATTCCTGAAGTTTTCTGCTTACTGCTTGAGCTATATTCCTCTCCTCTTCCCTTTGTCTATCAAAATCAGTGTCTACTTCCGTAAGGTTATCTATTAATTTTCTCAAAATTTTATCATTATTATGCTTTTGCTCATAAGCTAATAACAATTTACTTGGTGTAGAATCAATGGCTTTATTTAATGAATTATTAATTATATATTGAACTGAAGCTAATTTTGCTTTCCAATTCTCCGGACCCTCACTTATTTTCGATAGTGTTGATTTTAAAAATCGATTGACTCTCTCAACTTGCCCATTAGCCCATGGTGATGCTACAGCCGTTTTAATATGTTTTATTTCTCTTTCTTTCATAAACTCTGAAAAATTAATCGACCTATACGCTGTCCCTCTATCACTAATGATTCTCTCTGGGTTTCCGAAAATGTGAAAGAGCGATTTTAAATTTTTTATTACCTCCTTTGTTCCCGTAGATTTTGTTGGATATAACCAAACAAATTTAGTAAAAGCATCTATTGTTATTAGTATATGTTTATAACCGTCACTTGTTTTTTCCAAAGGCCCAAAATGATCTACGTGTAACGTTTTAAAGGGAATTTTATCTTTATCAATTATCTCTAATTCACCCTCTGATTTTCCTCCCTTTAAGGAATACGATAAACATTTTACACAATTATCTATATATTGTTTAACTTGTATCTTAAGATTCGAAAACCAATAATGTGTCTGTATTCCATGTACTGTTTTATCATAACCCACATGACCCATTTCATCGTGATTTATTCTAATTATATTGTTTATCATACTCTCGGGAACTACAAATAAATCTTTCCCTTTAAACTGTCTGAATAACAATCCATCTATCAGTGAAAATTTTTTACTTCCACTTAACTCAACATTTTTAGCAATTTCTCTTAACTTCAAGTCTGTTAGCTGTTTAAACATTAACTCATCTTCTGCTGTAATCGAGTTTATTGCCAAACCGTTACGACTTAGAGCGTCTACATGTGTCATCCTATCTGCGGATCTATGTACAAGTTCAAACTTATAATTTTGCACAGCTAGTGACCAACGAGCGATTCTTAGGTTTATTTTAATTTTTTTCATTGCTAACGTGAGAGAATTGCAATCTGTTATAATTTTAAACCTGATGCCTTGCAAATATATGTGAAAACGTTCTATGGCCTTTACAATTGCTAGTGTTTCTAGCTCAAAACTGTGGTATCTCTTTTCCGTATCGCTCGTCGCTCTACTAAAATATGCAATAGGACACATAGAACCGGACGACTGCCTCTGCAGCAAAATCGCGCCAAAACCCTGATTACTCGCGTCAGTATGGAGTTTGGTTTCGGCCGCCGGGTTATAAATTCTCAAAATCGGTGGAGTAGTAAGTTCTCTCTTTAGATCATTAAATGACTCAATACATTTATTGTTAAATTCAAAGGGGATTCCCTTCCTTAATAAAGTTTGAAGCGGTGCTGCCCTTAAAGAATAATTCCGAATAAATTTACGAAAATAGCCTGTGAAGCCCAAAAATCCCCGAATTTGTTTAACATCCTTAGGATAAGGAAATTCCAAAATAGCTTTTATATGTCTCTCACTCATCGAGACTCTTTCGGCTGATATTAAATATCCCAAATATTCAATCTTATTCATCAAAAACAGACATTTAGCAAAATTCAATTTTAATTGATATTTCCTAAGAATAAAAAGCACCTCCTCTATTACTTTTAAATTCTCCTCCACCGTTCTTGTCGCAATCAAAATATCATCCATGTAGATGTGTACTTTACCAGCCCTTATGAGCGGTTCAAAAATTTGGAGTACCCTCTTTTGGAACTCGGCGGGCGCCTCCGAATACCCAAACGGCATTTTTACAAACTCGTACTGTCCCATTGGCGTTGCAAAGGCGAAATACTTTGTGTCGTCCGGGTGTATGCCGATTTGATGGAAACCGTCTAGAAGGTCGAACTTCGAGAAGACTGCCATACCGTGTAATTGATCAACCTGATCTTCAATTACCGGGAACGGGTATTTCTGTGGAAAAATTCTCTGATTAAGAGGCCGCAAGTCAATACACATGCGCTTTTTCCCATTTCGCTTTGATACTAATACAACTCGCGCACAATATGGTGAAATGCTAGGCTTAATTATTCCTCGCGCAAGCAAATCTTTAATAATTTCTTCCAGTTCAAGTTTTTCCGCTGCTGCCATTCGTCTAGGAGCATAACGATAGAAAGAATGATCTTTTAAATAAACTCTAATCTTATAATCAACCTCCACGGGTTCAACAGGGCTGTCATCAATTCTATGAAATACATCTAACAGCTTCTTTCTGTTAAGTACACTTAATACGGGATCTGTGTTTTCAAGAATGATGTCGTCTCTGTTTTTCTCTTCTGTTAAATTAATAGAGAAGATAAAGTTTAATTCTGTATTAGGCGGAGGGCACTCGAACTCGAAGACCCCATTCTGATAACTCAAACGCAATTTTGAGCCATCAAGAAAGTCTCTTCCCAACAAAATATCAAACGCGAAGATTGTATCTTTCACAATCAATAAGGTTACGTCAAAATAGTACCCCTCTAATTTCTCAAAGCAAAGTTGATCACAAATTTTCCCCGAAACCAATATCTCCGAATTGTTAACCCCTTTTAGATTCAAGTTGTCTTTAACCTGCAAACACTTATTGTTTTGGAAAAATTTTAAATATACTGATTCTCTAATTAAGCTCACCGGGCTTCCAGTATCGATTAACACCAGAAAAGATCTGTTCTTACTTTCTAGAGTTTGCACTCTTACAAAAGGTGTCCTCTTCTCAATGACACATACGCCACCGTCATTTTGCTTGCTCGTTGCAACAGGCTGCTCCCCTGCCTCGTCACCCGATTGTCCCAAAAGATTCATTCTCGTAGATGTTGTTCCCGCTCTGGTTGCTGGGCAGTTGAATATACGGTGACTTTGCTGCTTACATTTGTAGCAAGTATAACTCTTGAATCGACAGTCCTGGACGGTATGTCCCTTTTCAAAACAACCAGTGCACGCAGGCGTATTTGGATTATCACGCTTCCAACCTGTGCGCGCATCTCCAATATTTGAACGGCGAAACGGTACTCCATCTTCCGTAATTTTCCGCGTTCTATCAATAAATCTGGCACCGTCTCCGTCTGCATATCAATTGCAAATCTTCTCAAAGCTGAGTCTTTAACTCCGTCCGATAGCATTTCAATTTTTTCTCGTTCAGAGAGTTGCAGGAATTGCATTAAATTCAATTTATCTTCTACATAATCCACGAATTTCTCCGTATTCGCTTTCCAAATTCGTCTGTTTATTCTTGCAATTGTTATGGAAATCGATTCTTTCCTCTCGAAATAAGCTCTTATTTTGGACTTAAAACTCGGCCATGTCACCCCAGTTTCTGGTTCCTGACGATTATACCAATTCCGCGCCCTTCCCTCTAGCTGGTTAATGGCGGCTGTCACCAGAATTTCTTCTGAGATTCTGTGAATTCGCGCTATATTTTTACATCGGTCGACCCACCGTTCAACGCTCTCGTCATCTTTACCGAAGAATTTTGGTATTAATTTTGAGACAAATTTTATTTGTCCCCAATTTTGCGCCGAAAACGAATTTGTACTCTCATTTGTCACGGTTTGAGATAACGGCTCTTCTGTTTGCATTGTTGGAAAAGGTCCCGTATTTTCCGATCTTATTATTTGCACAACCGTTCGAACAATCGCTTGCATATCGAATGCGTTCAAGGTGCTTCCCTCAACCGCGGTTCCCGCCATTCGCACCTGAGGGGGAAACACTACTGAATTTGCGTCTTCCCGCGATACTGAGTCCGTGTTTCCTACCTCCTGCTCTCCGATGGAACCCGGTCCGGCTAATATTAACTTTTCCGGCCAACCGTTTTTCTCATAATATTCCGAAATTCTATCTGTGATCGCAGCACGTGTTCCGCGCGCGTCCAACTCGAGCTGTCTAGCAACGTCCTTAAGACCCTCAATTGTTAGACCCTCCAATAGCGCACGGTTACTCATCATGTACTAATCTTTAATTTTTCAGCTCACTCGTTAGATAAAAATAAAAAAACTGATATTCCCTATTCCCGTGCTTAACGCATCAATCGACACGATAGATTTAATAATTACGTTCCACTTCTGATTGTCTATCTCGCTATAGTCAATGTCTTTCACGCACACCCGTTATTGCTCGAATCCGCACGCGCGTCTGTAGACTCTCTCCGTCTCTGTCTTTCTTTACTCTGATCACGCCTGTTTTCGACCAAAATCACGCCTGTTATTGACTAAGATCACACCTGTTTACGGAAGGAATCACATATCTTCCTTCCCGCTCCTTTGATAACGTCTTGCTCCGTTTCCTCTCTGCTTCTTTGTCACACTCCTTGGCTGCTAACTCTTTCCACCGTATAACTCTCTCTGTTCTGCGTAATCCTTCCCAGCAAACACAGTATATAAATGTTATATACTTAAGCATGTTACATGTAACGTATATGTTAGTTGTAATTTCCCACTCATAGATGTAACATTTTTAATATTACATATATTACATTGTAGTTATATTGTCATTATATCCCAAGTTAGCACTGACTTATCAATACATCAATGTGCTATTTGGTATATAATTACAATATAACTACAATGTAATATATGTTATATTAAAATGTTGCATCTATGAGTGGGAAATTACAACTAACATGGATGTTACATGTAACGTACACGTTATATTACCTGTTACATTCCGTTTTATTATAGCAATGTAATTATATATCGGTGTTTGCTGGGTTAGCATTAATTATTGCGTATTCTTGATCTTTATCCCACTTCTGATGTGATGTCTGTAGGGTTTTACCAGGATATTGTCAGGATAGATTAACACCCTCACTTTACACGCACAACTTAAGTCTTTATTTAATGAAAGATGAACAAGATGGGACTATTTACACTCGGAAAGATGACTCTCCTTATAATGTTACTGATTATCGAACGTATGCTTCGGGGAGAGCGGCAACCACGAGCTTAACCATTGCCGGAGGAACACGTGTTTCTTTATATTGTCTCTTTCTCTAACTCCTTACTTCCAATACGGTTGCTATCCACTCTTTTGTAGCTGAACAACGGCTTATTACTACTACAGCCAGTTACTCCAGAGCCTTCTTACACCTTCTCTACTATTTTATGATCACTCTTCCTATTTCCTTATTTCAACTATAACTCTCTTTAACTCTAACTTTAAGACACGTGTTCTCCTCTTCGTAGCTCAGCTCGCTCTCTCCGTAGCCCTAACGTTCTCGCTCCTCGCTCCGGCGCTTGACGCGCTTATACCCTTCCACTATTTTCTTACAATGTTTATAGAAAATAAAATGCGGCTATTGCGGTTGGATAATAAATGTTGGTTTCTGTGCCAATATTGAAGAACACAAATGTTTTGAAAGTTATAGAGAAGAGAATCACTTGTTACATATTGATGATAACCATGTAACAAGAATGAGTATGTGATTCATTTTTTACTATAATTACAAATCATTTTATTTATCATAATTTTAATAAAAATCTTTTATGTTGCAGTCCCACAATATAGTCACAATGAAAATTTAGAAATAAATACATCAGCGGATATAGCCGTAATCCCTGTCGAAAATAACGTTGAAACAAAATCTGATGATGGTACTGATGAAACTCTTATTAAGTTAGTATTTGAGAGACCTGCTCTTTGGAACTACAAGTTACCATTACAAGATTGGACGAATTTGAAAAAAGATGCACTTTGGTTGGAGATTTCAAATAGGATGGGAGGAGGTGATTTAATATAATATTTTACGTTTTATTTTATATATATATATATATAGATTTACAAATAGTAAGAAAAATGTAATAAATAGTTTGTAATAATAATATATAATGAATATTTTGCAATCAAAGGTAATGCTACTATTAAATAGGTAAAGAATCGATAGAAGGATTTATGAGATACTTATGTAAAAGCAAGAAAAAAGTTTAAAACTTCTGTTCGAAGTGGATCCGATACAGTCACTGCACAAAATTTAAGAAAAACTTTCTTTCGTTACTTTGAACGGATGCAGTTTTTGGAAGCAGTGTTAACCACAGAAGCGTAAGCAACATTTTACATATAATAAAGCATATAATAATAAATATAGCTATTTCAATGTATGTATATTGAAAATATATACATAATACATGTATATCATTTTATAGCGCTATCAGTTCTCTGCCATTTAAATCAACATTATTACCAAGTACATCAGACTCCAATTCTCAATTTGACATCAGCAGCTGTTCTGAATCGAAAATCAGTTTAGATGAAAGTTCATCTGAAACGTCACACCAGTTAATATCGCCAAAAATGACACTTAATGAACTGATATCAACACCTCTTTCTTCAAATACAGTTGCATTATCAAAAGCTAATTCATCAAGAGCATCAAAGAAACGAAGTAATTTAAAATAAATTGTATTTGTGTTAATATATTAATTTTTTAGAAATTATATCTTATTTTGAAGATTTTTATAGAGCATTTTGATAGGACTAAACAGAACAATGTAGAAGAAAGTTTATTAGAAGCTTTACGTCAGCCATTACAGCAATCTGATGCAGTTGATGGAATATTACTTAGATTAGGTGAAGGTCTTCGTCGTTTACCATATCGAGAAAGAACTATTGGAAATTCAATAGTTACGTGAACTTATGACAGCTGAAGAGCGATGCTGTCCATAATAATTAATAAGATAAGTTGTTTTATTTATTTTAGTTTACTTAAATTTTATTATATAGTTTACTTTGATTAACGCAGTTACTTTGATTTTATTTTATTGTATCAAAATCTAGTCAATTTATTTGTCATAAATTGTGCAATGATATAAGACTAATAGAAATGTCCCAGCAAACACCGATATATAATTGTTACATTGCTATAATAATACGGAATATAACAGGTAATATAACGTGTACGTTACATGTAATATCCATGTTAGTTGTAATTTCCCACTCATAGATGTAGCATTTTAATATAACATATATTACATTATAGTTATATTGTAATTATATACCAAATAGCACATTGATGTATTGATAAGTCAGTGCTATCTTGGGATATAATGACAATATAACTATAATGTAATATATGTTATATTAAAAATGTTACATCTATGAGTGGGAAATTACAACTAACATATACGTTACATGTAACATGCTTGAATACTTACATGTATATAACATTTATATACCGTGTTTGCTGGGGTAAGACAAAGAGATGTATTTATTTCTGAATTTTCATTAAATGAAATTTATTTGAAAATATTTTGATCTTTTTTTTACATTAATTGCTATATTTATAAATCATTATTAAGTACTTTATCCCATTGCCATGGCAACGCGCCAATTTTATTGAAAAAGTCTGAAAAATCTTCTCTAATTTTTTTAGCTGCAGCAGGATTTGAAGAGCGATTTCTTGATAGATTTCTCAAACCTTCAGATATTACTGCACGGTCCTGTGCAGTAAAATTAGAATACTGTAATTGTGGTACTTCTAAATTCTTTTCAGTGGACATTACATAGTTATGCAAAGCAGTTGTTGCCTGAATAACTTTTCGAGCTGTAGATTCAGAAGCAATTATCGGTTTTCCGTATATCCTCCATCGAGCAGTGAGTATTCCAAACGCACATTCTATTGATCGTCTAGCGTGACTTAATCTATAATTGAATTTTTTTTTTGTGTCAAGATTATTTCGTGGATACGGCCTTATCATAAATGTAGTAACGGGAATGCTTCATCTGCGACTAATACATACGGCAACTTTATATTACTATTCGCACTAATACATTTTGCCGCAGGTAATTGAAGCGATTTATCGTAGAATCGTTTGGAATATTGTGCTATCACATTGTCTTCCTTCACTGCCAATATCCACAACAGTAAAACGGTTGTTAGCATCACATATTCCAAGAAGAATGAGGCTGTGTTGTCCTTTATAATTATAATATGTAGAACCACTATTTGGTGGTGCCTACAAAATACAAAATGTAGATTAATGAAAAATTTTAAAAAATATTAAAATTAATAAAATAAAAAATAATTAAATTTATAATCAAATAAAAATAATAAAATATGATATAAATAATAGAGTAAAATAAATAAAAATTAAATAAATAAATAAATGTAAAATAAATTAAATTAATAATAAAATTAATATTAAAAAATGTGCAATTTATACAATATACTTAAATATATTTAAATAAAAGTTTTTACCTGTATGATAACATGTTTTCCATCAAGAGCTCCAATACAGTTGTTAAACTGGCAAATATTTTCAAAATGTTCTGCGATGTTTTGCCAATTAATTGTACTCGGTTGTAAAAATACTTCGTCTTTAAGAGAATTCCAAATAGCGTCACAAGTTTCGGAGACAATTTTGGAAACAGTATTATGTGCAATATGAAAAGCATATGATATTGAGATTATACTGTCTGTCGAGGCTTACTATAAGAAAGCACGTGAGCCAGCTATGACAACAATGTGACCAAGCGAGAGGTCATGGAACGTATGCGAAATTTGAGGACTTACGGGCAGACACAGTTTAGCGTTCGTACCGAGACGATGTAGAAAGAGTTTATTAGTAACCGTCGTAGCGATTAGATGTAGAGTCAATTTAGCTGTCGTCCTTTGAATAGACATATAGTTAGGCGACAGCCGTCGTACTCAGACGACGAAGAAGAACGAAAGCAATGTATTATTTGTGATTATTAAAGTATTGTTGGAGCAAACGATTCAATTATCCATTACAAGCCTTTACACTGTCTCCAGAAGCTAAATATCGCAAAGTTACTTGCAAACGAGTGCGCGCAGGTATTGGTGTTTGGACAACCAGTTTCTTTTGTAATATATGGTTTCTTTTGTAATATATGGTTCAATGATACTTAGCAGTTTTTCAAATGTTTCTAATGACATCCGAAAGTAATTGAAATATTTTTCTTTATCTATATATTCCATTTCGCGAACCAGATTATCGCTCGCTCCCTGCATTATTCTTCTTTCTTCTGAAAATATTGATTGTACCCAATACCGACGTTTATTTCTCTTTTTATTCTCTCTCTCACGTCGTTTAATTATTACATATAATAAATGTAATTTAAGCATTCGTTTCCGAATGATTTGCTTTTGAAATGCAGAATAAGATCTATTCCTAAATGAAATCCATAATCGACAAACGCTATATAGAATATCTTGTGCTTCCATAATTAAAGAATTTATTTATCTGTCAACAGTATTATTTTTTTAATTATTGTGTTTTGTTTATCATCGCGATTCCGCTGATGTATCTCTTCTAATGTCCCATGAAGCGGTAAACGCGGTAGCGGAATTAAGTTTCAGCCAATCATGAAATAGATTTACATTTACGTCAAAAATACATGTTATAAAAATCAAATTCTATTGTTCACCAGTTTATTATATATATTATTATATGTATATTAAAAGCTATTCCAACTATTATAAGTATTGTAAATAATATAAAAAGATTGATTTTATATCATTCCGCGTAATCCGTTTCCGCGTATTTCGCTTCATGGGACATAAGAAAAATGGAAAAGACGAAGTAAAGAAAACGGAATGGCTGTGATTGGTTGCGCTGGTTCCGCGCGTTTCGTTCCGCTATGAATTTCCGCTCAATGGGACGTCGGCCTAAGATTCTGGAAGTTTTCTAAAATGGAGATTACTTCATCGGCGGTCAAATTGCCCGTCATAAAATCACAAACGACGCCAACTAATGCTTTAAATAACAATTTTAGCATAAACTCTTCTATAGCTCTATCAACAATTGTGCAGTTCATTTATAAATTGTAAAAGAAGTCAAAATTGTCCTCGGGATATCTTATAATTTCTACTCTTAATTTCCCTTTGGGAATATAAAAGATTTTCTAAGAGGACTGTGAACAAATCAGTATCTATTAATCCTGTAGCTAAGTCAATTAATAGTCCAATAATAATATCGATAATAGAATAAAAACCTATTTTCCTGAGTTTTTGTACAGTCTTATCCGAAAATTTATTAAGTCCCATTTGAATAGAAATTAACGAATAGATAGTTTTATTTTATTTTATTGGGTATTTTATATGGGTATACAGATGTTACTTTATTTAATTTTGCAAATAAGCTGTGTATTGATCTATTTCCGTATGTCTCTCTGGTAATTATTGATCCTTTAATCTTATATTTAAATCGATAGGTGCATGATAGCTCTTCGCTTGTGAGGTATCTTCTTTAGATTTGGATTTTTGGTTTAATTCTAGGTAAGTTAATAGGTCTGAAGCGGCTGCCAGGAGATCTGGAGTGTGGCCTTCCGTAGGCTCAGTTTTAATTCTGTTAGACGCGGGTGTTAAAGTTGCTTGTGAATTGGTAGAGTTAGAAGAAATGCTAGTCCTCCAGAAGCTGCAATATGTATCGAGGGAACGAAATTGTCTGGATTGTTTTGATGCGAGGTTTATTAGCAATCTGTTCGCGTGTTAACCAACGCAGGCACGAGGCTACATGCTTTGTACGAGTCTTTACGCCGGCTCGATGGTTTCGTTTACTTCGCCGTTCGTTTTTAGCTTTCCGATTGCTCATCTACAATGGAGTTACCAAGTAGAGATATTTTATCTAAATTAATTAGAATGTGTCTAGATCAAAATATTTATTTGGTTTTATGTAGTAAGGGGAGGTAAATCTCGGGTAATTCTCGGGTGGTGAAAAATGTTTGGTGGTGGGAAATAAGGCGAATCATCAAGGGCAAAAATGCACTTCTCGACAATTATAAAAGAATAGAGGAAGAAGGCGCAAAATCATCAAAGGCAGAAATGTACTGCTCGATGATTATAAAAGAATAGATCGAGCAGGCGCGAAATAATCAAGAGCAGAACGCAATGCTCAATGATTATTAAAGCATTGACGAGACGAAAAAGAGGTGTTCGTCAATAGAGAAAGAACGCGCAAAATCGTCAAAAGCAGGACGCAGTGCCGGACGATTATGAAAGAATAGAGGAAGAAGGCGCAAAATCATCAAGGGTAGAACTGTACTGCTCGATGATTATAAAAGAATAGATAGAACAGGCGTAAAATAACCAAGAGCAGAACGCAGTGCTCGAGGATTATTTAAAGCATTGACGAGACGAAAGAAAGGTGCTCAACAATAGAGAAAGAAGACACAAAATTGTCAAGAACAGAACGCAGTGCCCGACGATTATAAAAGAATAGAGGAAGAAGGCTGAAAATCATCAGGGCAGAAGACAGAATTTTGCACTGCTCGACGATTATTAAAGAATAGGGGAAGAGGGCACTGGCGAATAATAGTAGGATGATATGATAATTATTGATCTAGCGCGACTTCTGAACAGAATTCAGATTCTCATGCAAGTAATGTATTAGAGAAGTCTTTGTTAGTGTGAAAGGTACTTACCTTGCGTTGGATGAACTTTTATAGCGTCAATCTGCAGCACGTTTATCTGCCGTCACCTTCTTAGAAGACCTCGGTCGGGATGCGCGTAGCGAAATCAAAAGTACACAGATTCTATGCTTTAAAATTCTTTATTGTAACTTTCTTTACTTTACAAACTATGCACGGTCAAGAATTAATGAAGAAAGTCAACGTCGTCGACAGCGAACGCATGACAAAGTTTCGTACAGAAATTTAGAGTGACACAATGAGATGCAGTATTTAATGTGCCGTAATATGCCATGTATAATTATGCCGCGCAAATGCTAGGACCGCAGAGCTTATATATACTCACCGAAATCGGGAAAAGTCCTTGTGCTTTGCGCTCTTTGATGGGGGTTCCTTCATAAACTGTATCTCGAGATCATTGATGCAAGTGATATGTGTGAAAAAAAGGAGGAGAGCCAATGGATTGTCTAGGAGAGCAAGAGTTCCAAATAGAGGCAGAATTTATGACATACATATGAGCTTTGGCGCGTAGGGTATCGAGGCGATGCGATATGGAGGGAGGGTGCATAACAATTCGGCCACGATACAAATTTCAAGAAGCGTCGAACAGTAGCGAAGGTTTTCGGCCGACAAAGAGCTGAGAATTATGTCGCCTTAAAACTAACGGATATAAATTCAATCAACATGATTATTTTAACGAGCGTATTTCAGAGAGTTTGCGCATAGATGTGCTTATTTCTTACAAACGTGAAATCGTACAATTCATATAATTTATTTTATATTACTTAAAATTGAGGAATAAAATTATAAGGTAGAAAATTATCGCTAATATATGAGCGAGAGCGCTGAGAATTTCTAAATTATACAATTACAATTCCACGATGTAGTGGCGAGAGTTCGGTTTATATATTTCGATTACATGATACAATATATGCCCTTTCTCTTAGTTATATTTACGTAAACCTTATTGTAATTTATTTATTATAAATTAGATCTTAAAATCTTAAATTCTTAAGATGTCATTTTTGGTGAGATTATTCAATAATCTAGAAGGTAAGGTTTCGTGAATATAATTGACAAGTTAACGCCCGATAAAATGGCGTTTCTCAGATTAGGCATCGCTAGAGATTTATGGAATCTTCATAATAACTTTATCAAGGCTAAAGCCTTTATTATAAAGGTGGTTGAAGCATTTTATCAATCATTCGAGTATTCGAAATATTATAATTATATTATATTATTATGTTATGATTTTATAAGTTCTATTGTTTCTTAATTTTGAACATGTTAGTGTCGCATTTATATGCGGTTCAGTTAGTCGCACGAATGTATACGTGTGGTTGGAAGTATGCGCTCCGGTATGGTCTAGTGACGCTGTCCAATTGGCTGAGCCGCTTAATTAGAACTAGAAGACCCTATATGTTAGTACGGTTAGTAAAATCGTCCCAATAATTATAAATAATGAATAATAATAATGGAAGAGCAGTCGCCCGGCAAGCGGAAGGTCTTGGGTTCGATTCCCGATTCAGCCGACTTTCGGACCAATATTTTTTCTCGTCTATTTCTTTACAGGGGATGTTAGGAGAAGGAACAAGGGGAATTTCTGAGATCCCAACCATAGGATTCAAATTCCTTAGTTTCCAAATTTTCTTATCTTAATTTGTCGCAATAACATCGCGTTTGGCTCTTTAGTCAAGATGAATATGATGATTTAAAAATTGGAGAGCCGACTTAAAAATATTCTTATTAATAATAATAATATTGAGAAATACAATTGCGTTTCTTAAGTAATTATTTAGAAGAATTTGTAGCGCACAAAAATACGGTTTCGAAAAATGACGGAATGTTACACTGCCTTTGCTGTTCGTTCAATTGAACTTCACCAATAGCAACAAACTGCTGCGGCAGTATGCTGTACATGAAATGATACTTTTAGTCGGGTTTAATAACATCCGTAGTTGTAAGACTGGCCAATCACAGCCGTTCCTCTGAAAAATGGAACGGCTGTGATTAAATTCAAAAAGTTAAAATCGGGGGACCAAATTAAAGAATATAAGGCCGATTTTTCCAACTTCCTAGTAAGTTTTATCCGACAGGTACCATATTTTCGTCTCCTTTCAGATAAATTCTAAAAAAAGAGACGAAAGATATGCTACTTGTTAGGTAAAACCACTGATGAAGTACTGTTAGGTTCTAACAGTACCTCGTCAGTGGTAAAACTCAAGATCCGTAGATGAACGATGGGAGAGGAAGTAAAGTCGTCGCATTCATATTTCAGCATTTGGCCTCAATATGGCGCCGCCAATCCAGCCACCAAACAGCTGTTCAACTATAGTTTTTTTTTCACTAAAATTTCGTATGACACACACCGACATATAACACACATAACTTTGTGGTCTCAAAATGGCGGCTCATGCAACGACCTTCCCCTCCCGTCGTTCATCTACGGACCTTGGTAAAACTTACCAAGAGTTGAAACATAAACGAGTATAGAAGCACGGTTCTCGGTATCCCGTGGGTCGCACGAGCTGAGGTACTTTGCTGTAGTTTACGTCACGTATACTATACTGAAATGCTATAGATAGTACAGTATACGTGACGTAA